TAAAAATAATTCATATTCAAAAATAAAAAGTTATTAAAATTCAAAAAATAAAAATAATTCAATTTCAAATTAAAATGGACTTCATATAATGCGTTGTTTTAGTAATATTAATGCATACGTAAAATGTTTAAATCATATGTGTAGGAATTCAATATATAATTCACCTATAATTATATTTTTTTGCATATTTTTAAATTTTTTATATTTTTTTTTACATTTTTATCTTTTTTTTAGTGTTTTTGAATAAAATACGATATTTTTGCCTTTACTCTTAACTTTCTTACTCAAAGTTGACATATTGTGTTGTGAGCGCTAATGGATGTTTTCTCAGTCATTTATTTGGTTGTCCCTTTTTAAATGTGTTTCGAAGCATGTAAGTTTGGTGTTTTTCTTAGAATTTAAAAATTACTTCTTTTTTTTTACGAATGAGTTAGCGTCACACACATTTATTATAATGATGTTTTTTGTTATGTCAACTTAGTCTTCAATGTGGTAGATGAAGTAATAATTCTCAGAAGTCTTAGCAGTGGATGGTGGTGCCAATGGTGATTTTCTGGACAATGGTTGGAAACCCATAATCAAGAAAGTCTCGAAGAGAGATGCGCGATCTGGTCGATTCTTGCGTACACATAAAACAACTGCGTTGACATCCAATTTGTCTTCGGCGAACTCCAACAAAGAGATGAATGTATCCTTCGAAGCCTCTGGGGGAAGCTTATCAGGCATTGCAACGTACAAAATGTTATTCTCCGGATTCAAAACCTATGATAAAGCGAAGCAAATTTATATAGGTTTTGTATTTTAAGACTGTGTTACAGATATCAGATTCGAATGTAAGTTTTGTTGGCTGAAGAGACTTACCGATTCCCATTCCGAGAACTGGTTCTCCGTAACGTGCAATTTGATGGTTATACGAGTTGGATTATCATGTTGCAAGATATGTTGGACCATCTCTTGGCAATCTTCGTTCGAATATAGTGATTGTGCATCACTGCTGCAATGTTGTGAATCGCTGCCATCCGAATCAGAGCACTCCGACGAAGTGCGGCTGTGTTCGAATACACTGCCACCAGCTGAATCCACAGAAATCTTCCGAGAGTGTTCTGCTAAATAAAAAAAAAAAAATCATATAATAAAAAAATTAATAATTATACATATGTAAATGTGAAGCATGTTTTTTGATTAACGTACCAGTTAAGAGTGACGCCCTATCGTGATCAGTTCTGTGGTGGGTAGGGACATCAAAACCACCACAGAGGCCCTACGCCGAGAGAGATACAGAAGGACTCATTCGAGACGCTAGTAGCGCAAGAGGATGAGGAGACGGTGCGTGCCTTAGATACACTTGGGTATCCAAGAGCGTTTTCATTAACTTCTCTTCTACTACTGATACTACTACTAAACGTTGGGTCGCTGTAATAAATATGTATATTTTCAATAATATTCGTTTTTAATTAAATTATGGTATATAAATTCGAGTTTTCCAACAAGAAATCAAATTGTAGCGGGCGACGAGTCATTATAAGCATAATTTCCAATTAAATGAAACATATTAGTAAAAAAACATATTCGTATAAATACTTGTATATGAAAATGAGTATTTTAAGTTGGTCTGCAAAGATTTATACAATTTTATGATGCTGAGATTTATCTATATCACTTTATCAGTTATACACTTTGTTTGCACTATTTTGTACTTGGTCAATATTTAAATTAGTTGTATCTTTATTTACACAACCTCGATATTGTGGTGGTGATGCACTAAAAACGAGTCAGAATGGGTAAACATAAATAAAGCTAAGATAAGATTATGATAATGAGAATAGTTACGAAGGAATCTTGTTTAAGACTTAAAATATTGTAAACAAGAAAATTATTTTCTAGAAAATATTAAGAAAAAAATAAGTTAAGTCAAGTGAAATTAAAATTTTAGGCTAAATACATACAAAGATTAGTACATGAATTTAACGTCAGGAGTTATTTAATACATGAATAGACAAAAACAAATAAAATAAAATTTCATTAAAAAACATATACAAGAAATCTATAACAGGGAAGTTAAAAGTGGCTTAATTGTACTTTACATTGTACGGTTAAATACATTTGTTATATCGCTTTGGAAGGAATGCCTTTGCGACATTTTTAAAGCCACTACTTTCTGAAATACACAAGAGCCTCTCAAACTGTATCTGTCAAGCATGACGGCAAGCAAATTCAGCAGAAAAATGGCGAGCTCGTGTGAGTTGCTTTTCGGCTGTCAAACGAGTGTAAACGTTTCCATAGTGGTTCCATAGAAAACGACGTTTTATTGCACGTTTATTCCTAAATTATAGTTTTTTGAAGTGAAAATTTAAACAAATTAGAGAAATATGTCTATTGGTGTACCTATAAAAGTTTTACACGAGGCTGAAGGTCACATTATCACGTGTGAGACAATAACCGGCGAAGTATACCGGGGCAAACTCATCGAGGCTGAAGACAACATGAATTGCCAAATGACACAAATCACAGTCACATATCGTGATGGACGAACGGCAAACTTGGAAAATGTCTACATACGCGGCTCTAAAATTCGTTTCCTCATACTGCCCGACATGTTGAAGAATGCACCAATGTTTAAAAAGCAAACTGGTAAAGGCCTGGGTGGTACGGCCGGTCGAGGGAAAGCGGCGATATTACGCGCGCAAGGTAATGTTGCTATCAACCATAGTTAAAATGTGAAAAGTTATCCAAAAAATGTACATATTTTTTTATAGCACGAGGAAGAGGTCGTGGTGGCCCCGGTGGTGGTGGTAGAGGTGGTCCGCCAACAGGCGCTCCTGGCGGTGGTCGTGGTGCATGGCAAGGTGGTCCAACGGGTGGACGAGGTCGTGGTGGTCTTTAAGCAAATAGTATTTTAAGTCTCTTATAAAGTAAGTTTGGATTACAATGAAGTCAATGATAAAACTGAATATGTTCGCATATACGAATGGATACAATAAAACACATTCAAAGCAGATGAAATCGATGTAGTTATTCAAATTTGGAAAAATGAACAATACTGCAATGGTCGGCATGTACCATAGATATTTTGGTATGAAATAGCACATATGTTAAATACGTATACGCATCTAAGAGCAAATAGATTTTGGATACACAGTAAACTTTGAAATGATTTAGTGTAGTTACATACGCTAGCGAACGTTGAACGCCTAAATTCTGACAGTTGTTACTGGTTTTTAAATAAATAAAAAAAACACTAATTTCTCGGACATTCACATATTAGGACATTAATTGTTTTAGTAAGTTTCGTTGATTGTCGAATACTATACAAAAAGAGCAATTCCATGACAGTATATTATAATACTTGACTGTCGATGGATAGCTCTCTTCATTTTGCCATTCGTTTTGTGGATTAGATCGAATTAGATCCATCACCAAAAAACAAGCAGACATATAAGCTGTTTATGTATAAATCGACAAACGATTTCTCTAATTTATTTAGGACAAGGACATTGACACACACAATTTCTGCAAATTTATTTTTATTGCAACATAAACACAAAAACAAGAGAAATAAATTTTTTGTATGAAAGTAAAAAATAAATATAAAAAACTAATGCGAACAGTTATATATTCACATCATATATGTATGTACATATATATATTATAGAGAGTATGAGATTCTCGAAGAAACCGGTTGCTTTTAGTGAAATTTGCTCAAAGATAGGATTTATCAGGTTTAATTTTGTAAAATATGTATATATAAAATGAATTTTATTATATCTGCATACATACATATGTATAACTGAAAAATCCAACACGTGGACGCAAACATATTTCAATACATACTTGAGTATATTTGTTTTAAATAGCACGGAATGGTACTAAAATTTGTAAACAATATTATATTTAGGACGAACTGAAAATTTAAATAAAATGAAAGAAATACGCGATGGTGCGACATTTCATCAACACAAATTACACGCAAGGCATAACAGTTTATTGCGCATTTGGCAAACAAATTTAAAACCGCACTACATATACACACATTCATATAGGCATACACGAATATGCATGTACAATACATACGTATGTACATACAGTTGTCCACAAAAAAATAGGAGTGACCACATGAGAAAAACGATTTTTTTAATTTTCTTTAAGAAAAGAGTTTTTTTTTCAAAATTTTTGAAGAATGTAATTAACTAAAGATCTATTAATACTTCCACATTTCATATTTTTCAATTAAACATAAACAAAGTTTTATAT